GCTTCTCACCCTTCAGTCCAAGTTTCAGTTCCTTATGAGAGCCATTCCCACCATTGGGCCAGTTCAGGTAGCTCCTAACCAGGACCTAGCCTCACCCCTGTGGACTAATCAAGCAGTCATTCACCAGCTGGTCTAAGCTGCAGACTGCTGAGCCCTCCCATCATAGACCTGGGAATGTCAAGATGCATAAAACACAGTCCCAGCCCTTCGTGAGTCCATAGGGGCATGAAACTGGGATCATCGACACTGGGACAAGCAGTTACTATGGGAGGAGATGGATGGCTGTGAGGAGCCTTCTCTGAGAAGTAACAATGGGTGAACCTGAAGGGAAAGTGGGGTTTTGAGGGAAGTTATTGCAGGCAGAAGGTACATGTGCTTAAAAGTGGGAAGAGATTTTTGTGAGGAGCTGAGTGTGTCCATTGTGGCCTGACAAAAGACATGAAGTCATTAATGAGATTTAAATAGAAATGATATAGCTGGGATTGTGGTTTTTTATTCATTTGTTTTTGTTTTGGGTACAGTGGATTGAACTCACTGAGCCACACCCCCAACCTTTTTATTTTTTATTTTGAGTCTGGGTCTCATTAAGTTGCTTAGGACCTTGCTTAGTTATTGACGCTGGCTTTGAACTTGTGATCCTCCTGTCTTGGCCTCCAGAGTTGCTGGGATTACAGGTGTGCACCATCATGCCCTTCCTGAGATTGTGGTCTTTATAAACTAATTCTGCACTGGAGGAATAAACAAGGAAGGAAGTAGGGGGATTGGTTGGGGGATGCTGGAGGAATCCAGATGGCTAGAGATGGGGGCCTCCCTCATGATGTTGGCAGTGAAAATGGGGCAGAATGAACTATTGTTGCCTGGGCTGGGGGGTGGGGAAAAGGGAGGGAATGAGAAAGTCTCTGGTCCTTGTACCTGAAAGGTGGGTGGGGAGAGGACAGTAGGAACTGGGACACCCATCTCCCTGTGTCCATCCAAGGTTCCACCTGGCATGGGGTTGCCCATGGGTGATGTTTGTCACCCATCCTTTTCCCCTATAAAGCAGACGCAGATGGAAGCTCAAGAGAGAGAAGGCTGGGGCTGGGGATGTGGCTCAAGCAATAACACGCTCACCTGGCATGCACAAGGCACTGGGTTCAATCCTCAGCACCACATAAAAATAAAATAAAGATGTTGTGTCCACTGAAAACTGAAAAATATTTAAAAATTCTCTCTCTTCTCTCTCTCTTAAAAGAGAGAGAAGAGAGAGAGAGAGAGAGAGAGAGAGAGAGAGAGAGAGAGAGAGAGAGAGAGAGCTGCCTAGTTCATTGGCACACAGCTGTAATCCCAGCAGCTTGGGAAGCTGAGGCAGGAGGATTGGGAGTTCAAAGCCAGCCTCAGCAACTTAGCAAGACTCTGTCTCTAAATAAAATATAAAAAGGGCTGGGGATGTGGCTCAATGATTAAATGTCCCTGGGTTCAATTCTTGGTACCAATGTGGGTGGGGGAAGGAAGAGATGTAGAAGTCTGCTGATAAGACATAGTACAAGACAGCTGGGAGCAGAAAGAGGAAGTTGGGTCAGAACCCGGATATGATGGGGTTTCAGGGAAAGTGGCATCTGGGGTTTCCTGAGAGCCTGGAAATTCCACTATCTTTGGTTCTAACACAATACCCCAAATCCTGAGATTTTCAAACCTAGCCCAGTCCTTGGGGTCCCTCTAGAAACCACAACCCCTGACAGGTCCCAAGATGATAAACTAATGTCTGCATGCCCTTCCTGTGGACTAGTCCCCACACCTGATACCTGCGTGGCCCAGGACAATTCTCATCATAAACCTGTGGAGGCTCATTTATCTCCATTGCACCTATGAGACTTCAAGGGGTTAAGGAACTTGCTCAAATTCACACAGCTAGGATGAGGCTGGGAGAGGATTTGAACTGAGGTTTGACTGACATCAGAGTCTGTGCTTTTAACTCTGTGCTATATTAAGCCTGTCGACCCTTGGTTGATTGGCTCAGCATGGGGAGGAGGCTTTGTGGGGGATTTGCTTGTGGTTGGGGTGGCTGCCCCCCTCTCATATCAAGCGATAGGAAAGGGTAGTGCTGACGTCAATTGTTACCATGACGATACAGCAACCCTTTTCCTGCCGTTTCTATGGTAACCTGGGGGGTCCATCTGTAGTTCGCCCCCTCCTTCTAAAAGGGGGTTCCTTAGGGAGGGGCCAGCTAATAAGGTGTCTGAGAGAGAAGTCAGGAAAGGAAGTGATTTGAACATATCCCTTCCCCGAGTCCCTCCTCATTGCTCAGACCCAGAGAAAAAGGCTGGGACCCAGAGGTCCTGCACTGGGGTCCAGGAAAAGCTTTACCCCTGAGGGTGAAGAAAGCAGCTCTGCCCTTCCCACCTGGGGAATCTTCTGCAAATGCCCCCCAACCCCACCCCATTCTTAGACTCCATAGCAGAACTGCAGGGAAGTTGGCAAGAGGGTTTTCCCAACCCCCTGCAGGGCTGGCTACCCAGCCCCTGGAGACATTGTCCTTGGCTCTCTGTCTCTCTGTTGCCCCTGGAAGTCAAGGTTGGAACAGCAGCAGTTGTGGCCTGCTCATGTGCTGCCTGGGACTGTACAAGCATGACCTATGGAAGTTTTGCAGCAGGGGTCATTAACCCCATTTTCCAGATTTGGAAATGGAGGCTAAGAGAGGCTTAGAAGTCTAAGTTCATACAGTCAGTAAGTGGCAGAGGCAGGACTCGAATTCAGGACTAGAGTTTAGGCCAGAGACATTTCCAGTGCAAAAGAGAAAGAACAGAACAAGATGGACATGGAGAAGATAAATGAGAGAATGAAGTGACCTTGGTTGGAGCCTGTTATACTCCCTGTCACCTACAAATCAAAGTTCAAACTCCTCAGCCTGGTATTAGGAGGACTCCTAACTCAGCTTCACTAACCCATCCCTGGATTCCCTGCATGAGGCATGAACTCTCAGCACATAGCATGGCCCAAGTAGGTGTTGGTGAACACTGAACTGAATTTCTTGAACTTGACCCTCTCTCCTTCCTGCTTCTAGGCCTTTGCCCACAATGTTTTCTCCACCTGGAATACCCCTTTCCCCTTGCTCATGAATATATTAGAGCTAACTAGCCCCCCAAGATCTGGACCACTGGCAAGGTCAATCAGTGTCTGGAATCTTGACATCCCTCACAAACCAAGCTCGTGGAAGGTAGCAGTAGTAAATGTTTTGCTTTTTTTTTTTTTTTTTTTTTTTTTTGGTATTGGGGATTGAACCTAGGGGCTCTCTGCTACTGAGTTACATCCCTAGACTTTTTATTTATTTATTTTGGTACCAGGGATTGAACCCAGGGGTGCTTAACCACTAAGCCACATCCCTAGGCCTTTCTTTTTTTAAACTTTTTTTTTTTTTTAAGAGAGAGAGAGAGAGAGAATTTTAATATTTATTTTTTAGTTTTCGGCGGATACAACATCTTTGTATGTGGTGCTGAGGATCGAACCCGGGCCACACGCATGCCAGGAGCGCGCTACCACTTGAGCCACATCCCCAGCCCCTTTTTTAAACTTTTTTTTTTTTTAATATTTATTTATTTTTAGTTTTCGGCCGACACAACATTTTTGTTTGTATGTGGTGCTGAGGATTGAACCCGGGCCGCACGCATGCCAGGCGAGCGCGCTACCGCTTGAGCCACATCCCCAGCCCTTTTTTAAACTTTTTGAGACAGGGTTTCCATATGTTGCTTAGGGTCTCACTACTGGCCTCAAACTTGTGATCCTCCTGCCTCAGCCTCCGAGTCACTGGGATTACAGGCACCCGCCACCATGCTTGGCTTAATTTTTGAGACGGTGTCTCACTAGGTTGCTTAGGCTGGCCCTTCAACTTTAAGTCCTTTGCCTCAATCTCCTGAATTGTTGGGATTACAAGCATGTGCCACTACACCTGGCTGTGTTTTTCAAGGAAAAGAGAATTGAGAAGAGGGGTTGAAAGAAGTAAGGAAGGAGGACTAAGGCTGTAGCAGAGTGCTTGCCTAGCATGTGTGAGGCACTGCTGGGTTTGATCCTTAGCCACATAAAAATAGACATTCTGTCCATCTATTACTACAATTTTTTTTTTAAGAAGTAAGGAAGATGAGAAAACAAAAAGGAAGCATGGAAAGGATTCACCTTTGGGGCATGGCAGTTTGGAAGGGCCTGGGAGAGCATTTTGCATGGAAACCAAGAAGGGTGTCCCCTTCAGGTGAAGTGGGATCTGAAGTGCTCTTGGGAGAGGCTTGGACTTCTAGGGGAGGCCTATTGAGTCAATTGTGCTTAGATCTCTGGGGACAGGAGACTAACCTGATCTTTGGGTTACATTCCCCCCCCCCCAAATAAAAATAATAAGGTTCATTAAAGCAAAATTGGAAAGCAGAAAATACTTGTTCAGCTTTGGGCAGCCTTCGAGTCATGGGCTCCTCCTACGGATGGATTTAAAGGCATTTAGCCTGAGGACACTGAGGAGTGTGCCAGCATCACTCAATTCCTTCACCTGTAAAATAAGGAAGAAATCAGTTTTCCAAACCATCTCTTTCCCAGGCTCTCTGTGATCCCGCCAGTCCTAGGAGAATCTTACTCAAAATGAACTGGTTCAGACCCTAACCCCTCTAATAGAGCCAGAGGTGCCCGTGATCACAAAGTGGCAGACAGCAAAACCTAATTCCAGTTTGGGAGAATGACATGAGCCTGGTGTGGCCAGTCTTTTTTCTAAGTTCCGTTTGCCCACCTGTCCCTCCCTGGATTCAGTAGGTCGCCATCGTCCAGCGTAGTAATCTGAATTTCACTGGTGACCCAAGGACAGAGATAGAAAGATGGACGATGACAGGACCCTGGGGAACATGACCAACAAGAAATGGAGGGAGAAGGGTGGCGTCGGGCCAGAAAAAGGCAGACGTGGAAGGGCGGGCCCCTAGGGTCAGATCCGCGGGAGGAGGCAAGCAGCCCATCAGACGGACAGACATACACGGCCAGCCCGGAATGGAAAGAACAGTTTATGCTGTGCTTTATTAAAATGTGCATCATTCTTTTATTTTAAAATGTGCATCATTGTCTCGTGCTCGGCGCGTGCGACCTCAGCGTGGTGGCCCGCGGCTGGCCTCGTCCCGCCCGGCTCCCGCGGAGCCCCCTTGCGCAGGCGCACTCAGGTGGCGCGGGCCCGGGGGCTCCCGCCCATGGCCAGGTAGACGTCGATGGGCACGTGTAGCAGCGTCAGACAGTGGCAGCCGGGGCAGCGTCGAAGCGGCCTGGGGAAAGCGGCGCGAGACCAGGGGCGCTGAGGCCCGGCCTACACTTTTGGGGCACCCCCGGGCTCCTGTGGGGTTGGGGCGTGGATGCAGGGCCCGGGGGATGGGCAATGCGGCGGAGGGCGGAGCCCGGAGGAGGGGCCGCGGGGCGGGGCGCGGTGCCGGTCTCACCTGACCGGGTTGTGCTCCGTAGCTACTGGCTCCGGGCTGTCCTGGGACTCGGGGGCGGCAGCAAGGCCAGGGGAGTCTCCGGCCTCAATGGGGAATCTCCGACCCTGGGGCGGCTCCTGGGCACTCATGTCCAGGCCCCGGGGCGCTCTGCGCGGGGAGTGGTGGTCAGGCCGCTCTCCAGCCGCCGTGCGCCCCCTGCCCGCGCCCGCCCCGCTGGCCGTTGCTCACCTGCCGGAGGCCGAGACCGAGGCCGGTCCCAGGCTGGAAGCAGCTGCCGGAGCCCTGGCCGCGGGAGGACGCTCCGGTCCAGGGGGAGCCGGGCAGGTGTCTGCGGTGCGCCCGAGGCCGGGCGTCGAGGGGGAGGGCTGCATTGTGACCCGGGTCGTGGCGTGCTGACCTCACAGAGCCTGTTCCTCCCGCCGGAGAACCCCCTGTCGCCCCGGGCCGCCCAGCACTTAGCTCGGGCCCCAGCCGGGAACTATAAGAGCATGGTGTTTGGAGAACGGGTCGCGCAGAACCCCCGGCGGCCGGGTGGGGGCGCAGGCGACAAGGGCTACCTACGGACAGGCAGCCTCCACGAGGAGGAGCTGGGCATCCCAGGCCCATGCAGACGCCCCGGGCGCCCTCCGCGACCAGGCTGCCACTCACTGACTGGCATGCGGGCAAGGCGGTGGCGGCGACTTAACTGATGTTGGGTTTGGTGGTGGTGGTGGTGGTGGTGAGGGCAGGTAGGGCCATTGCCCATTTTGGCCAAGGGTCACACAGCATTTACATCACAATTGGTCCGTAGTTTAAAAATGTCTCACCCTCTCCCTCCCCACCACCCGCGGCTGTGTCCAGACGGAGAATGTTCTAGCGCTGGGGGCGGCTGTGGATGAAGTCCTTGGGGGGAAAAGGAGCAGGCCAAGGGCGATGGTGGAGTAGAGCTGCCTCGCGGAGGCAGCATAAGCTGAGAGGGTGACAGGAAGGAAGGAGGCGCTAGACAGCATGGAGGACTTTCTGCTCTCCAATGGGTACCAGCTGGGCAAGACCATTGGGGAAGGGACCTACTCAAAAGTCAAAGAAGCATTTTCCAAAAAACACCAAAGAAAAGTGGCAATTAAAATTATAGACAAGATGGGAGGGCCAGAAGGTGAGCTGGGGCCCCTTTGGAGCAAGGGAGGGCTGGCTGAGGTGGGTGGGTACTTCCTCCAGTCACTGAAATCTCCCTCCTTCCTTTTAGTCGGAACCGAGGAGGATTATGGCCCTGGGGTAGGTCAGTGGGGGACAGTGATGCTGGGATTCCAAGAACATCACACCTCAAATCCAAGATAAAATTGGCACAAAGTGAAGAGTCCTGGGGCTTTTCCTATTCCAGGAGGGGAACAGAGACTGTGAGACGCCACAGCCAGGGCTAACAGAGGGCAGGAGCTGGTTCCAAGGCAGGTGGAGGCTGGAAAAAGGAAGACTGGGCTTCTGGAAAGAACTGTGGGTCAGAAGGTAGGGGTAGGAGGAGGTGGTTCTCCACCCTGTGGGCAAATCAGGTCTCCTGAGATTCAGTGGCTTCCTCTAAAGTCCCCAAAGCAGCTTAATATCTGTGGTCTCACAGTAGTCCCTGAGTTTGGCAGAGAGTAGTTCCTCTGAATAATGTATTAAAAAGATAATAAGTGAATATACTTTGCAATGTTTAAGCCACTAGACATATCTAAAACTATTTAACCCAGGAATAAGACCCAGTCATGGTGGGTAGAGTCAGGAGTAAGGAGTTAGGCCCTTCTGATCTTGATGTACATCTCTCTGTTTCCTCAGAGTTTATCCAGAGATTCCTGCCTCGGGAGCTCCAGATTGTCCGAACCCTGGACCACAAAAACATCATCCGGGTGTATGAGATGCTGGAGTCTGCAGATGGGAAAATCTACCTGGTGATGGAACTGGCTGAGGGAGGGGATGTCTTTGACTGCGTGCTGAATGGGGGACCACTGCCTGAGAGCCAGGCCAAGGCCCTCTTCCGCCAGATGGTCGAGGCCATCCGCTACTGCCATGGCTGTGGCGTGGCCCACCGGGACCTCAAATGTGAGAACGCCTTGTTGCAGGGCTTCAACCTCAAGCTGACCGACTTTGGCTTTGCCAAGGTATTACCCAAGTCACGCCGGGAGCTGAGCCAGACCTTCTGCGGCAGTACAGCCTATGCCGCCCCTGAGGTGCTGCAGGGTATTCCCCACGACAGCAAGAAGGGTGACATCTGGAGCATGGGCGTGGTCCTCTATGTCATGCTCTGTGCCAGCCTACCTTTTGATGACACAGACATCCCCAAGATGCTGTGGCAGCAGCAGAAGGGGGTGTCCTTCCCCACTCATCTGGGCATCTCGACCGAATGCCAGGACCTGCTCAAGTGGCTCCTGGAACCAGACATGATCCTCCGGCCTTCAATCGAAGAAGTTAGTTGGCACCCATGGCTAGCAAGCACTTGATAAAAGCAATGGCAAGTCCTCCCCAATAAAGTAGGGGGAGAAAGCAAATCCAAAACCTGCTTCTAAAATGGTGATATATATTTTACACTTTGTTTAGTTATACTAAAGCTTACCTACACCCTCCCTAGACGACTCTTTCCCTCACAAGGGCCATGGAACCAAGGGCCTCATTCCCTTTTGTTATGGCTGACAAGTGATTTTCATACAGGTGTTTAACCAAAGTTAATTAAATTAGACCCCAGAATCATCCACACACAGGGGGAGGAGAGGAGAGGAAAACAAAAATGACAAGAGTGATTGGAACCACTGTTGCTGCAACTTCCTTTACAAATAAAAGCAGAAGCGTTGGGAATGCAGAAATGGCCTCCTGGCTCCTTGTCTTGGTGAGAAGCCAGTCGGGGCCCCATCCCTTCTTCATCCCAGAGACCAAGCTAAGTCTGACATGGGGTCAAGGGACTGATTTCCTTAGGACCCAGACCAAACCCCCAATGCCTCTGTCTCAGCTCCAAGCAGGAAGCCACTCTGCAGTGTGTGGGTCCTGCCTGGGCTCCAGTGCAGCTGCCTTGGGGGACAGAAACAGATCCCCAGACACCTTCTGGCTTCTGTTGAATTTCTTTAATGCTGTTAACGGCAATTCTGTAAAAGGTTCAGGACAAAGTTCTTTCCTTTTTAATTACAAAACTAACAGCTGTTAGAATCTTTTTTTTTTTTTTTTCCTTTTTTTCTTTTCCTGGCTACAAAATACTCTGGGGAGATGCATTATAATTTAAAATATATAATATTGCACAAACAACCAAAAGGTTAATTAAACTAAAGAAATAATTACAAAGAGAAAAACCCCATCCCATCAAAAAAAAAAAAAAAAGGAATCAGTATTCTCTTCATCCCACCCCCTCACTCAACATTTGATGCACAGTGCCCCACTCTTGGCATCCCTGACCACAATCCCTTTAAATCACTGGTGGACACACCAGCTTATGTACAAGAATCACGAGAGCTGCATCGTGAAGCACCAGGGTCTCCAGGAATCCCTGCAGCCCTCACTACCCCCCATAAGAGATGTGGCTTCACCAAAGTGGAGGGTGGGAGCCACAGGTTGGCTCCGTCTTCCAGGAGGAGAGCCTCTGCAGAAGCCCAGGGAATCTCAGGACATTTGCCCCGGCACATCCCTTTGGAAGCAGAGGGCTGAGGCGGGAGGAGCTGGTCTTACCTCACCTGTGTTCACTGCTCTGTACCGCTGGTAGTTGGCTTGTGTCCTAAGCTACAGGGAAGTAGAGGTGGGTAGCTGCTTGGACCAGGTGTCCTGCCAGGCAATGCACAGAGGGGCCTGAAGTGGCCCCCTCCCTTCTTGAGGAGAGGAGGAAATGCAAGAGTGTACCCTTGCATTGGCACAGCTGGGCTAAGGACTTGGGTGCATTTGACATGAAGCCGCCCTGGAAAAATACAGGGACATCCCAGTGGGGTCTGGAGGAAAGGAAGGAGGTGGGTTAGGGTTTGGTCTCTAGATTCTGAATCCCAAGGAACCTTTCCAGGAATGGAAAATGCCTGGGAGGGGAAGATTCCCAAGATAGGCAAATTTCCCAGAGATGAGTGCCTTTTATCCACTGGCATAGGAACCAACATGTGCTTGCTGTCCCTGTTTAGCCAAGGGCAGGTGGCACTGCCTTCCTTGTCTGCTTGTGGGTGGACAGCATGTGCGGCTGTGGCTTCCTCCCAGAGACCGGTGGTTCAGGGTGGTTCAGCTTCAGCTTGTCAGCTCACAGAAGGGTTGGAGCTGCCCCTTGGGGCTTCCCAGCAGGAGGCCCCAGGAGCAGTGAGTGTTCAGCAGGGAAATGTAGGCTCTCCGGTGAGGGGTGGTGTCCTACCCTTAGGTTATCCTAAGGTTGGCAGGAGTCAGAGTCCTGGGCGTGGATTTAGACAGCCCCTTCCCAGGTGTGAGCAGAGGCTCAAAGGACCAGCAGGGAGCCACCAGAGGTCTGGATGGCAGAGGCCATTTGGGGGACATTCTCAGTCAGTGTCATCCAGGGCTGGGCTGAGATGAGCGAGGGAGGTGGGAGGTGCCGTGAGTGGGGGAGCTGTGTGCTCTGGTTCCCCTCATTCCCAGTCCTCCCACTCTACATCTTCTAGCTGCAAATGGGAGGGAATAATGAAGAGCACAAACATACATTTACTCCTTTTTGTCAAGCCCAGACTCCTGCTGAGCAAAGCTGCCTCCATTTCTGGATAGCTGCCCTCTATCCCAACCCTGAGCCATACCCTGATCCTGTAAGAGTAAACCCTTAGTCTTAAGGAGTAAGTTGGGATATGTCTGGGTCGAAGAGCTGCCCTCCGCCTGAGGGACAGGCCTGCTGCTCGGATTGTTTCAGACCCATCAGAAATGCTTCCACCATAGTCAATGGAGGACACTGAAGGGGTGCACCTTGCCTAAGAAACCAGTAAGCCCACCCCTTAAGGAAACCTTGTCTCCTGTGAGCTTAATTAAGGCCATGCCTCAGAAAGGCAGAAAACTTCAGAGTGGTCCTGTGACTGAAAGCAGGGTAGCAGTGGATTATAGGTGCTCAGGAGATCTTCACTAAGGGCTCAGCATCCTAACTCCCAGCTCAAGTCTCCCCAGGGAACTTTCTCTTGCCTTGTTGCTCTTAGGCCTACTGTCACCTGCTGTTTGAAATGATGGCTTTATAGAATGACTCTGCTCAAAGCTGCACATCAGGATTTTTTTTTTTTTCTCACAGTACTGGGGATTGAGCCCAGTGGTGCCCTGCCACTGAGCTATATCCCCAGTTCTTTTTTTTTTTTTGCCTTGGTACTGGGATTGAACCCAGAGGTACTTTACCACTAAGCCATATCCATAGCCCTTTTTATTTTTTATTTTCAGAAAGGGTTTCATTAAAGTTGCTTAAGGCCTTGCTAAGTTGCTAAAGCTGGCCTCAAACTTGTGATCCTCCTGCCTCAGCCTCCAGAGTTATTGGGACTACAGGTGTGTACCACTGCACCCAGAAAAAAAAGTATTTTGAGAAAGGGTCTTGTGATTCTTCTGCCTTAGTCTCCTGAGTAGATGGGATTATAGGAATGTGCCACCATGTCCAGGCTACTTGTCAGGTTTTATTTTTTTGTTTTTTGGTATCAGGGATTGAACCCAGGGTCACTTAAACACTGAGCCACATCACCAGCCCTATTTAGTTTTTATTTAGAGGCAGGGTCTCACTAAGTTGCTTAGAGCCTCATTAAGTTGCTGAGGCTGGCTTTGAACTTGCAATCCTCCTGCCTCAGCCTCCCCCACCCAATGGGATTACAGGAATGTGCCACCATGCCCAGCCTGCATGTCAGGTTTTAAAGAAGACTGTGAAAACACAAAAAAGCTAGTAAGTCTCCGTGGCATGACAGGGTACCATGGGCCTTCTATGTCCTAAGTATAGTGAAGTCAACTGGTGCAAAATATTCTTATAAGTTACTACCTGCCCTGAGGCTTCAGTTTCCCAACATGAAAAATCAAAGCCTTCATATGTCTCTCTAATCTGCCCACATTTTTTTTTTCTTTCTTTCTTTTTTTTTTTTCTTTGTACTGGGTCTTGAATCCAGAGTCTCTGGCATGCTAGGAAAGTGCTCTATCACTGAGCTACATACCCAGCCCAGCATCTATTATTTCTAAGTAGTTCCTGAGGTGAGTGTGATTCAGAGCAATGGTTAAGAACTCTCCCTCCATCCACCCTAAAACTGATGGGAAGCAGAACCTGCTGCTGCTGATAGTCATGGACCTGAGTGGGAGGTCCCAGCTCTCTTCCTATAGCCTGCCACCTCAGCTAGGTCCAGGGATCTACTTTGACAGGACAGCGAGCTTGATGAGGAGAGTTCTCAGACCCTGACATCACTAGGCTGGCTTGCCTGTGGCCAATCACACCCACTCACCTCACCGGAGGCATCCACTTTGGAAAGTGCCATTTGCACTTCTTCTTCGGTCATGTCCAAGTCAAAGTCCTTCTCCCAATCCTCACTGATGTCTGTGCTTGAGCCTGGAACCAGGAGGGACAGTGTGAAAGGCAGAAGTGCGGGGTAGGTGGGTACCTAATGAGGTTTAGCTGGGTGTGATGGCAATCTTTAAAAAGGTTGGCAATACACAATACAAACCTTTACAATCTACTTTCACGTTGGCTCAGCAATCTGACTTTTAGGAATCAGGAAAAATCCTGGATTCAGTAAAAAATTTAGCCAAAAGGATGTACATTATAGTACTGTTGTATAGTGATGAAAACTTAGAAACAATCTAAAAGTCCACTAACAGAGAATTAGAAAAATAGCCGGGTGTGGTAGCGCATATCTGTAATCCCAGCAACTCAGGAGGCTGAGGCAGGAGGATCACAGGTTTTAGGCCAGCCTCAGGCCTTAACAACTTAGCAAGACCCTTTCTCCAAATAAAAAATAAAAAGGGCTGGGATATAACTCAGTGGTAAAGTGCCTCCAAGTTCAAGCCCCAATACCAAAAAAAGAATAAAGAGAAAGAAAAAGAAATGGTATAGATACATGTTGGAAAATGATATGGCTTTTAAGTTAGGCTGAAGAATTTTATACGCATGACAAAACATTCTTAAAACTCTTTGAGAAAAAGCTAATTACTAGGGATCAGATTATAGCTCAATGGTAGAGTGCTTTCCTAGCACATGTGAGGCAGTGGGTTTGAACTTCAGCACCAAATAAAAATAAAAAAGTAAAATAAAGCTATTATATATCCATCTACAACTTTAAAAAAAAAAAAAAAAGGTTACTAAAGAGTGGAGAAGCACTTTGGCCCACAGGCTCCCAGGGAGCCACAGAAATCTACCAGAATAAACAATGTGTGTCTTTCTCCTTCTTCCTTCAGTTCTACTCAGCTGACCTGACTCTTCCTGACACACCAGGGTCATCCCCACCTTAGGGCCTTTAAGTAGCTGTCCCCTATACTGTACTCCTCTTCAGATACCTATATAGAGCCAACTTCCTCACCCACTTTACACCTCTTTTCATGTTTTACCTTCTACAGGTGGCCTACCCTGACTGGCATATTTTACAACCCATCACTCTCATTATGCTTTTTTGTTGTTTTTTCAGGTTTTTTTTTTTTTTTTTGTAATTTTCTAAAACATTATCAGACACACTATGCTTATTGTCTAATAATAGAGGGGCTAGCTCCACAAGGGCAGGAGTCTTGTTTTTTTTTTTCTTTTTCTTTTGGTACTGGGAATTGAACCTAGTGGTATTTTACCACTAGCTACATCCTAGCCCTTTTATTTTTCATTTTTCTATGGGGTTTTGCTAAGTCACTGAGGCTGGCCTTGCGCTTGTGATCCTCCTGCCTCAGCCCCCAAGTAAGTGGGATGTCAGGTGTGTGCCACCCTCACTGGCTCTTTATTTTCATATGCACTCCTAGTGTCTACAGCACATAGCCAGCATCTAATAGATATTCACAGACCCTTTCTCTAAACCAGTGGTTGGCAAATTATAGTCTGTAATCAAATCCTATAATCTATTTCTGGAAATAAAATTTTGGAACACAGCCATATCCATTTGTTTATAAGTTGCCTGTGGCTGCTCTAATGTGGTAATAGCTGAGTTTAGTAGTGTTAAAACAGACTGTATGGCCCAAGAAGTCTACAGTATATACGATCTGGCCCCACACAGACCAATTTTACCACAACTCCTGCTCTAAGTGATTCTAATGCCTGTCACAACGTAACAACCACTATTCTAACCATTTCTTTTGGGTGACTTCTTATATGCAATATTTTAAAAACACATGTGAAAGTTATCAGAAAGAAGCAAACTACATAAATAGTTGCCCAGGCCTACATACCACACACACAAGGTATTCCACACTACCCTCTCTTCTTTGCCACAAGTGGTGTAGTGTATGCATGGGCTCTGGAGTCAGGCAGACCAGGGTTGAAAACTTATTCCTTTATTTATTGTATACCCTGGGCAGATTATCCTGGCCTTCAGTTTATTTACAAAATAAGATAAAACTACCCTTTTTCCAGGGCTGGGGATACAGCTCAGGTGGTACAGTGCTTGCCTCACATACACAAGGCCCTGGGTTTGATCCCCAGCATGACAAAAACAAAAACAAACAAAAAAACTTAAAAAAAAACAACATCCTTTTTTCAAAGAGCCACTGGGAAGCTTATAGAAAGCAGACTCCCAACCTCTTCCACCTGTCTTGAGCTTCATCAGGTCTACTTGGTGGCTTGGGATTTTGCCTGGGTGATTCCATGGAGACCCAGGCCTGCAGTTTGAGAAATAATGGCATCAGAATTAGAAATATGAGTGGCTGGGATTGTAGCTCAGTGGCAGAGTGCTTTCCTCACACGTATGAGGCAGGGTTCGATTCTCAGCACCACATAAAAATAAATTTTAAAAAATAAAGGTTAAGAAAAGAAAAAATAATTAGAAATATGAGCTGGACATGGTGGTGCACATCTGTAATCCCAGCGACTTGGGAGGCTGAGGCAGGAGGATTGCAAGTTCAAAGCCAGCCTCAGCAACTTAGTGAGGCCCTAAGCGACTTAGGAAGAGCCTCTCTCAAAATAAAACATAAAAAGGACTGGGGATGCAGCTCAGTGGCTAAGCATCCCTGGGGTTAATCCCTGGCACTAAAAAAAAAAAAAAAAAAAAAAGAATTAGAAATATGAGTGTAGGCTAGGGATATAGCTCAATTGGTAGAGTGCTTGCCTCACATGCACAAGGCCCTGGGAATCCCCAGCACTACACACAAAAAAAAAAAAAAAAAAAGAGAAAGAGAAAGAAAGAAATATGAGTGTAAAGTGCTGGTTACATACAGAAATAGTGGATATTTAATAAATGGAATGGAGCTCTATTTGTTCTAAAGGTCTCATCTCAGAACTAAACAATTTTGCACAAGGAAACACAGCCAAGTCAAAGCAGATCTGTAACCAAGACTAAATTCTTCTGACCTTGCACCTAAGTTTCCCTTGCCTTTAGGCTGCTTGGGTGGCACTTGCCTACCTGTCAATGCAGCTTCCTGTGGGTCAGACTGCTGACTGATTTCTCACTTCAGAACTGTGGCTGTGGCCATGACAATTTCCCCTAACCTCTAGAACTTGAAACTCCCTCTTTAGGCTTGAATGCCATGGCAAACCCTTCTAGTGGTAGAAAAGAGTATAAGCTAACATTTCTAGAGCATTTCACATCCACCCCCTGGGGTGGGCGACAGTATCAATTCTCAGATGAGAAAATGAAAGCTTTGGTGGCAGAGATGGGAACAGGGGTGCTCCCTGCCCCTGGCCTCCTCCTCCCTTTGTCACACAAAAAGCATACTTTTTGTAGCTTAGTGGTACACCCTTGCCTTGCACATGTGAGGCACTGGGTTCAATCTTCAGCATCACATAAAAACACATAAATAAATCTCCACTGTGCATGTGGCAGAGACATGATCTATGCAATTTAAGGCTTCATAATGGAGTTTGACTGCTTTTTGTTTTGTTTTCAGGTCATAAAATCCATGACCACTAACCTGCCAGGACCATCATCTTTGTTTTGCTATTAAAACTATTTCAAAGTGCTGTCACTCACAGCTGATTTTATTCTGTTTAACTGGCTGTCTGCTTCCTCAGATAAGAAATGGACACAAAAACAGCTCTCAGGTCTCATAGTCAATGTTGAAGTGGGGCCTTCAACCCAGGGCCACAAGCCATAGGTTTGCCCCAAACTCCTCTTTTCTGCCCTTGCTGAGAAGCTGAGCAAAGTAGGTGCAGTCTTTTAGATTTGATAGGTCCTAGGGACAAAATACTGGTGGGAGCAACTCTGCAATGACAGGAATCATCCTGGGAGACCCTATGGCTAGGCAACTCAAAGAGACTCTGCTACACCCAAGGACTAAGCCTAATGCCTTCCTAGGATGTGGGCATAGGAGTCACTCTGTCTCCAAGCCTCTGTTCCTTTAAAATTTACTCACTCTACTATGTTCCCACTATTTTAGCCTAGTCCAAGACCCTGGCTTCCCCCTATCTGACTGATTACAGTTGCTTTCAGGGGTCTTCTGCATGGTATACCCAGCTCCTCCTTTCACAAGCCCTAGTGGATTGGAGGGAGCACAGCAGAGTAGTAAAGAGCTCTCACTGTACTTCCTCCATAATCCCAGTTTCATCCAGTTTCCAAACATGACTAATTTTTTCTGATCACCCTCTTTGCCACCCAATTCCAAATGGAACCCATAACTCTTTAACCCTGTTTCACTATCCCTCATTTTCTCACAACCACTATTCTAACCATTTCTTTTGGGTGACTTCTTATATGCAATATTTTAAAAACACATGTGAAAGTTATCAGAAAGAAGCAAACTACTCATTTTTACCCAGCTAAGATTTCAGGAATCATCACTGATCAATTCTTGCATATAGTTGGACTTTTTTCTTTTCCTGTTTATTCTTTCTTTTTTACATCTCATTAAACTTGAACTCTGGTTAAATCCAACTCCCGTCTGCTCTGTGCCGTAACCGAGCAACTGAGTATGGCTAGGCAAAATACAACAGGGTTGACAGTCTCACTTAATATCCATGTCTACCAACCCCACTGCACTTGTCAGGCCCATCACCTTACTTCCATAAGACCACTTCCCACTCTTCTAAATATTTATTGGATCAGTGATTGATCTCAGTTTCCTACCAGTAGAAAAAGGGGAGAAACTGCACAGATCTCAGAAGGCTTTTGTGAAGACTGACAAACATATCAAGGGCTTAGCATAGACGTAGACACAGAAAATGCTCAGAGAATGTTACCTTCCCCAAAGCAGGGCTCTACCCCAATTTTTTTCTGATCAAGATCTATTGCAAAATAATTACCTCCAACTTATAGACAAGTAAACAGAGGCTTAACTTTTCTGAAGCTACAAGGCTTGAGAGCTAGCTGGGCTTTGAACCCAGAACTGGCTAAGCCCTTAACTGCTGTGCTGCTTTAGGGTACCAAGCCCAATCTGGCTCCAATTTAAGTTGTTAAATTCTTAAGTTCTATTTTTGAGCCAACCAACCCACTCTTGTTGTACCTCCCTATCCTGGGAGACAATACAGAAATGTGCCCTTAGACTGGACCACCATTCCCCACACCTGTCCCAAACTCTCCAGATCTCCTACACAATGCCTGTCTCCTCGGTGAACATCTGCTGATGCTCAGAGATTCCTTCTTTCTCTGAACTCCTTCGGGACCAAGCCTGTCCCAGACTGCTTCATGCTTCATCATAAAGACTGCCACTTCTGCCCCTCCCCCCTCAGTGTCTCATAAAGAGCAGGTAGGAGCTCAATGTATGACCTCACTGAGTCAGTCAGAAGGAAAGCACTGTTTTGGAGACTGGAAACACTGAAGCTTTCCATCGGGGAGCCGAGTAGGACTTGGGTGGGGCCCATTCCCCATCCAATGTAGCAAACCAGTCCCTCACTGCCCAGCAGGCCAGCCCTCACTTGCTGGCTAAGCTTTGTGGCTGTGACTGGTACTAAGTGTTAGTGATGACAGCATATATGTGTGTCAAGGGATGAAGGACAGTTTTGCTGATGATCAGCAGTCTATGGAAAGGGATTTTGAAAAAGGCAAAAAGGCTGACAGCAGGGCTGTTCTTGTCCTTTAATTCCTGGAGTTAAAATGGTTGCTTTTTGATATAAACTCAGAGTCTCTGGTCTAAAACTCAATTACAGAGATACTGAAGCTTGCCAGGCCTGATGATGCACACCTGTAATCCCAGTCTTGGGAAACCAAGGCAGGAAGTTTGCAAAGTTAAGGCCAGCCTTAACAACTTTGCAAGACGCTCACTCAAACTAAAAAATAAAATTTAAGCTGGGCGCTGTGATTCATACCTGTAATCCCAGTGGCTCTGGAGGGGATCACGAGTTCAAAGCCAGCCTCAGCAATGGCGAGGCGCTAAGCAACTCAGTGAGACCTTTTCTCTAAATAAAATTAAGAGAAAAAAAAAGGGCTGGGTATGTGACTCAGTGGTAAAGCGTCTGTGGGTTCAGTTCCCAGTACAGAAAGGAAAAAAAGAAACTGAAGCCCTGTCACTAAAGCTGGTGCACCCTAAGTTCAAGTTTTCAAGTTCATGAGTATTCATTTCATTCTTTAAAACAAAAGCCTTGGAAAGTTGAACAACTTTTCTAAGGTTCCACAGGAGAGAAGACCCTTGACATTAACATACAGGGATTCTTAACTCAGGGCAAGACTGAATTATCCAAAAGATAGAAATCAGCAGTATGGTAGTTAAGAACATGGCCTTGGAGTCAGACAGGCTTGGGTCTAAATCTGATCTTGCCAATTCCTAGTCATGAGAATTTGAACAAATTACTTAACATTTCTGGACCTCACTTTCATCATTTTTAAAAGGACAATTTTAATACCGTCCTCACTGTTTTGTGAGATGTAAGTGACAAATTAAATGCCATATAACATATTTAGCACAGGACCTAACCTAAACCTTATTTTGTGGATTCTAAGATACTAACTATTGGAGTTGGTGTGGTGATACACACCTGTAATCCCAACAGCTCTGCTGGGGCAGGAGATCACAAGTTCAAAGCCAGGCTTAGCAAATTAGCAAGGCCCTAAGCAACTTAGAAAGACCTTGTCTCAAAATAAAATATAAAAAGGGATGGTGATGTGGCTCAATTGTTGAGCACCCCAGTATCAAATCCCAGTACCAAAAAAAATCCTGACTATTATAAAATAATCCTGACTATTATAAAAATCCTGACTATTATAAAATGTGCATGTTAAGACTTGATGAAATATGAAATATGTTAATAAACATATTTGGAATATGAAATATGTTAATAAACAATCGATAGCAGCTGTCCTCCTCCTCCTCAGGTATCACAAATGAAGGAAATTTGCTACTAGGATCATGACAAGGGACAAAGAGACACATCTGCCTTATTAAGTGGCAATTCTTGCCTGCCCTGCCCAGACATCACCACCTCCCCACTCCGCCTTGAGCCTCCAGACCTACCTTTTTTGCCATTGTTGGAGGGTGTAGACTTCCCACTATCCGAATTCAGCTCAAACACCCGTAAGTCTGTGGGCACCTCCTCCCTCAGAGTCTCTACTCTGGCTGGAGGCCTGGGCTCTGGAACACTGGGGCGGCCAGCAGGAGTTAGGGGCTTGGAGGTAACTGGGGGTGGGGGACCAGTCTCGCCCTCATCCACAGCCTGGCCCTGTTCCTCCAAAGATGCCTCAAGCAGCTTTTGGGACAGGTCTTTGGGAAGCACTGGTGCCTCAGGTGTACAGGCAGGATTGGCAATCTGTGTCACCAGGGAGATGCTCTCACTGCTCTCTGATGGAGTCACCTCTGCTTGGGGCTCAACTGGGATCACAGGAGTCTCTTCACAGGAGCTCTGGGGGGCAGGTCTTCCTTCAGGAGGTGTGGAAGTTATGGTCACAGGAATCTTTGCCTCTTTTGGAGATATGGGTGAATTGCTCACAAGTTCTTCTGTAGAGAAAGGTAGGAGAAAATGGTATTATACTCTAACTAGCCTCACGACAACCCTGGAACTCTCAAGTTCAACCCAAGTTTACTCCAATGAAGACAAATGCCACTTCTCTCCATCCCACCCTCTGGTACTTCTGCTGACACTCCATACTAGTCAGTCCCACATGCCCCTCCGGGACCTGCCAGCAATGTGGCTTAAGGTAATGTAAAAGTTGGAAAGCCAAGACTTGAAAGTGGGTCAGTTTCAGGGTTCAGGTCAGGCTCTGCCACATACTAGGTCTATGACTGAGCAAGCCAATTCACTTTTTTTTTAATATTAAAATATTTAATTTTAAGGACTTTACAGAAAACAAATGAGTTAATCTGCTTCTTGTACAGAAGAGCGCAAGATTTATAGCAGTCATATTATGAATGTTTTACTAATGCATTGAGGGAACTCTACATTAATTATGCATTATGAATATGTATATTGCTTCTCATTATAAACACTTTTTTAAAGAGAATACTCATGAGTATGCACAACTGATGTGCTATAGTATTTTCCTGAGTGCATGAAATACTTTAATAACAAATCAACCTAAGCTTTTTTGGAAACAATTTCTAATAAAGATTCATAATCAGCACAGTTCTTCAGTGACTGTATAAGTTCATCCAGTAGATAATCTCCTTGCATAAAAGTCTCAAGACCATGCAGTGACTTGTTATTCTGTGATCTGTGACCCGGTTCTGTGGAAAATCATATGTTCTTATTTTCTCTGATCTTCCTTTAGTTCCAACCTAAATCTTCCTAGCACTGTAATCTTTTACTTGTTTCTTCCTCTAGACGCATATTGTACAGCTTTGCACGCAAACTTTTTCATAGCCATTTCTATTTTTCAGTTGAGACCTCTCTTGTTGGCATTCAGAAACAACACCTGTTGGAAGATGAACAATCCGGACAGCACTATCCGTGGTATTTACATGCTGACCCCCAACTCCACTAGCTCGCTTAGTATCAATTCTCAAATCTTTTGGATTAATCACCAGATTAATCTCAGTGGGCTGGGATAATATTGCCACTGTCATGGTGCTAATATGGATGCGGCCTTGCTTTTCTGTCCCTGGCACTCTCTGTACTCTATGCACTCCCCCTTCAAATTTCATGTGTTTATAGGCTTCTGAACCGCCAATGCTGGCAGATGCATATCTAAGGCCACTTATTTCACTTGGAAAGTATTCTAAGGTTTCAAAATGCCATCTTTTAAATGCAGCATATTGCTGATACATATCGAATATCTTAGAAGTAAACAACATGGCCTCCTGACCCCCTGCAGTTACCTCCAGGATCAAATCACTTTCATCAGTTTCTTTCTTTTTTTTTGAGAGAGAGAATTTTAAAATATTTATTTATTTATTTATTTTTCAGTTTTCCGCGGACACACCATCTTTGTTCGTACGTGGTGCTGAGGATCGAACCCGGGCCGCACGCATGCTAGGCGAGCACGCTACCGATTGAGCCACATCCCTAGCCCCTCATCAGTTTCTTCTGATGCTTCAACTGAGTTATTTCTTTTTGACACAAAGTTATTTCATTCTCTGCAAGTTTCCTTAAATCTTCATTTTCATCGTGCAGCAAGTGCTCGGTCTCCCACAGCTCAGGAGTTTGGTGACCACTACCAAATCCAGCCTCCTGAACTTCTGGGCTTCTGACCCTGCTTGGTGCTGGAGGAAGGTCCGTAAAGGCCTACCACGGGCAACCAGCTCCTCCAGTGGCGGGCTACTGTAGCTTAGGGACCCACGGGCTGCACCAACAGCCTGGCCAGCGCCCCACAGAAGCCCGCCCCACATGGCTGGCCCCACTTTTTTTTTAATATTTATTTTTTAGTTGTAGTTGGACACAATACCTTTATTTTACTTATTTTTATGTGGTGCCGAGGATCGAACCCAGGGCCTCACACATGCTAGGCGAGTGCTCTACCACTGAGCCACAACCCCAGCCCCAAGCCACTTCACTTTTAACTTACCTGCCTCATTTGGGAATGAGGAATAATGGTACTGTGGTAAGGACTACACATGTAAAGCCTCTAGTGTAGAGTAGGCATGTAGTATAAGCACTAACTAAAAGTGTAATAATCATGTCATCAGGGTGGCTCCAACATGCCATTCTAAACTGAACTACCAGGTAGAGGATGCTCAGCTCCCTTTCTAATCTGTCTAGGCATTAGTATCACCACAGGAGGCTGCTAAAAATATACCTTTGGCCACATTCCTACAGTCTTATTTAGAAGGTTAGGAAGGAATCTGGATTTTCAATGTGTTCCCTAGTGTCTATGAAGCAGCTGGTCCACGGCTGGCAAGGCAGTCTGTTTCACCTGATACCTGTGATTTCTGAATATAAACTTCGGGTTTTGGGGCTGGGGATATGGCTCAAGCTGTAGCGCGCTCGCCTGGCATGCGTGTGGCCCGGGTTTGATCCTTAGCACCACATACAAAAAAAAAAAAAACAAAGATCTTGTGTCTGCCAAAAACTAAAAAATTAAAAAAAAAAAAAAAAAAAAAACAAAACACCAAAAACTTGGGGTTTCACCAACCTTGTTCGATATTCCCTTGTTAGCTCCATCTATGCTCAGCACATACACTGTTTATTCTTTACTCTCCTCTGGGGCACCACGACTCTCCAGACCTCAGAGTCCCAGAGACAAGCCTGTCACTTGCCTATTATATCTAAACACCTCTTACCTTCTTCTTCCTCCCAGCCAGGCTCTTCAGAGATGCTCTGTTCTGCCCGCTGCTTCAGGGCATCCCTCCGGGCCTGCTCCTGAGGATGGGGAAGCAATGGCCAGAAATGGTCAGGGGACTCTATTCCCAGCTCCTGGTCCTGACCCCAGAACTCTTGGCACCCTGTCTCCCTTTCTTGTCTCAACAAAATCCAGCCTATGTTCCCCAGGATTGAGCAGGGACCTCCCCAGGCAAGACCAGCATACCTGCTCTAGTTGATAGACTTTATAGAAATATCGGTGCCAGAATTCTGAATGGGAAACAGCTGCTGGAACCTGGAGGGAGAGGAAGGTGGAGGTGAGGATTTTGAAATGGTATACAGAGTCTCTGTCCCCAGTCTCATCAGTCTGTTCCCAATTGCTCTGGATTTCAGACACAGGAATTGGCTTTGCATTGATTGTCAAAGCCTACCCTCATTTTCAGCCAGACCTAACCTCCTGACCCAGCTTGGCCAAGGAAGGAGAAAAGAACTCCCATCAGGCTGTGCTGGCCCTTCCATTTCTCACCATGCTCTAACTGCAAGAAGCCTAGCCAATCAGTCTCTTCCGTGCAGATTGTTGGCTCAGGACAAGGCTAGTTTGGCTCTATAAGGTCTCCCACTGCCTCCCACTGCATAGGTCCCTCCCACCTGCCGAAACCTCAAGCCTGGAGCCAGGTGAGGTCCTACTGGCTGGGAACTCACCATCTTGGTGTAGAGGGCCCGGATGGAGGGGCTGCCTACAAGGAGCTCTGAGATCTCCCCCTTCTTCTCTTCCAAGCAGAACTGGGAAAGCCAGGCGTCAAACATTTCCGGGGGCCCTGCAGAGGGGCAGACACTGATGGTCAGTTCCCTGGGTCTGGGGAAAGAACCCTGGGCCTATAGAACATACTTAAGCTTGGATTTGGACAATGAGAAAAGTTTATGGGCTTTTTCAAAACCATTTGGCCCAAAGTGGGAGATCAGGCAGGGTGAAGAGGTATACAGGCGCTACTGGGATCAGAATGCGGCAGCTAAGTGAACTTCAGAAAAGGCTGTATTCTCTATTTTCTCCTATTTCTGCTGGCTACTGAATCTCCCTCTGAAATAGCTGTCTGAGGTCACTTCACTAGTGGAATCATATTGCCAGAGCCGTTGGTTGCTTCTGTTTTCCCTCACGTGGCTATACCACTGTTTATGCCATGAGGGCCACTTTCTTCCCTGAAAGCCCTTGTCCCTCTGGCTTCTCACTCTTGTTCTTTTCCTCCCGCTCTCTGGTTATTCCATCTGAATCTTTATGGGCTTCTAGTTTTCCTTTTCTCTCCTTACCCGTCTTCACTTTCTATTTTCTTTTTTTTAATATTTACTTATTTATTTATTTTTTAGTTTTCGGCAGGCACAACATCTTTGTTTGTATGTGGTGCTGAGGATCGAACCCGGGCCGCACGCATGCCAGGCGAGCGCGCTACCGCTTGAGCCACATCCCCAGCCCCCACTTTCTATTTTCTACCAAAATAGTCTATCTCCACTAAACCATGAATTCCAACCTTCTTCTCCCACTGAAAATTTCTCTCTCTTTGCAACCTGGACTACCCTCCTGGCCTCCAGATTCAATTGCAAACACAACATGTTTATTTTCTTCCCTTCCAGGTATCCACTGGAAATCCAGGAGCCATCCTAGATCTCCCCAGACACCTCTCTTATCCTCTGGTTGACTCCACTTCCTCCCCCATCTCCTACATGCATACCTTCCTCTTCGTTCCATCTGCCTCTTTCTAAGACCTGGCCTTATCTCTGAGATGAGAATTCCTATGAAGCATCCTAGCTGGATTTCCAGTCTTTGTCTCTATTTTGTCTCTCATAGTACTGCCTCAAGTGTTGCTTTATAAAATGAAGTCTGATAATCCCAGGGCTCAAAACTCTTTAGTAGTTTTCTGTGGAAGGGCTTTTTAAAGCTAGGGTCTTCAAAGGGTTGAAGAATTCCCATACTGTACACAAAATATTGCAGAGAGAAGGCTTATTATTTTCAATAATTTTAAGGCCTTTGTGACTAAAAAGAACACTACTTCGAACCTTGTAGGACAAAATTCAAACTGGGTAATCAAGCGCCACCAGCAGAATGGTTGCCTTTATTCCCTCACAAGGGCTCTTTAATCCAGTGTGACCAAAAGTTAGGGGCTCCCTGTTCTTTCTGGATCATCAAATATACTGTTGCTTTTACTTGAATATCCTTTTCCGCTTCTAAGAGTAAAATCAGTTTACTTCTAACCCATACTTAAAACCTCAATTCAAGTGTCACTTCCTATGTTCTCGAAGTACCTTAGGTGTCATTCCTTGAGCTCTCACTGTCCCTGTCTTTCTGAGGAAACTGTCACTCTACTTCTACTATCTCTGCTTTCTTTCATTCTTCCTATTTCTCCCTCCAACAGTGTGGTCCTGGGCCTGCTGGGCTGGGTTGAAGGTTTGACTTATTTCTAGTCTCCAGTTCCCAGCACAGACATAGGGGCTTAGCAAATAGGAGAACAGGAGCTGAAGGCAGGCAGGCAGGGAATAAGGGCTAGAAGGGAGGCCAAACAGAGAGAATGAGGGACCAGAGGAGTGAAGTCTCTGTATAGGACAAAGCTGCAGTGAAGAGAGCTGGGGTTCAGGGAAGAAAAGGGACCATCAACCCATCTCACAAGGCACTACTCTGGTCCCTCTATATAACAGGTACTTGGCCTCTGCTATCGGAGACAAAAAGGGTTCAAAGACCACACCCTCTATTCTTAGTCTACCTTTCCAATAAGCCCTCCCTCACTGCTACCCCCTCACCATCAGGTTCATTGCAGTAGGTTGCTGGATCGGACTGCAGGCTATAGAGGCGAGCCTGTAAGCAAAAGAGAACAGAGAACAGAAATTCTGGGGTGGATACTGGGCAGAGAAAGCACCCCCTTTGCAACATACCCAAACAACTACAACTCAAGCTTCTTTTCCTATTGATTTGATTACCAAACCTATAGAGCACTATCCATAAAAACTGTTATCACTAGGCTAAAATCCCAAACTGGGGTTTCCAGAAAAATGGTCTGTCTCACAGTATTACTCTTGGGAACTGAAAATATAGTGTAATCAGTCTACAAAATTATATGTATACAATGCTTCTGAAATATGTGAATGTGGAAAATGTGAAATATAAATGTATTAATAAAGTCCAACTTTGAGGGAAAATTGCAAAATAATGTAACTATTCCAAAATTATAATCATTCATCAAGAATTTCATGGGCTGAGAGTATAGCTTAGTGAGCACTTGTTTAGCATGTATGAGGCCAGGGGTTTGATCCCTAGCACTGTATAAAAAATAAAAAAGTTTCTTGGGCTGGGGATGTAGCTCTGTGATAATGTCTTGTCTAGGTTGTGTAAGGCCTTGGATTCAATCCCCAGCATTGGGGGGAAAAAAGAATCTCTTAATTTTATAACCATCTGCCAAATGAACTATAAGCTATGTTCTCCTTAGGGAAGAGTCAGTCTGTACCAGAACTTCAACAAATGGTTTTGGTAGTGAGTCACCGTTACTATAACTTAAAATCTCACTATTGAATGATTTTCACAATTCTGCTCACACATTCACTAAGTGGTGGGTGGCACTAATGTCAGTGCTGAAAAACATTCTTGAAAAATTAGTATCTTTGAAATGGAAATTCAATATAAAAAAACTAGAAAGAAGGCCCATCAGTCATGATGCCACACTGTGAGTTTAGCAGAAAGCAATTCATGAAACAGGAAAAGCCATAATGAGAAAATAAAATATAGCACAAATACACTACCATGGTTGTTGATGTAAGTGTTCTGAAGACAGGAAATTTATTCCTAATGGAAATTAGTCTTAAATAACCTAAATGTGGAGAAAATCATGCCCCCCAAAGATGTTCTCCAAAGTGTCTTTATTAAGTGTGAAAGTTGAAAGGAATTCAAAAGTACATACTTGGGAGATGACAGAATAAGCAATGCGATATTCATTTGTAAGAATTTAAAGACATTAAAAGCAATGGTGATGGGGCTGGGGTTGTGGCTTAGTGGTAGAGCGCTTGCCTCGCATGTGTGGGGCACTGGGTTCGATACTTAGCACCACATAAATTAATAAAATACAGATATTGTGTTCATCTACAACTAAAAAAAAAAGCAATAGTGATTAGGAAAAATGCTAATAGTGTGTTGTATACTTTTTTAAAAGCAGGTAACAAAACTGCTTGTATAAAGTGTGTATTTTGTTGAAAAGAAAAAGCCCAAACTATCTTTACCTACAAATAAGAAAAGGAAGGTTATATACCAGCAAGAAATCAGAGTTCTCTTTGGGTGATGGAATTATGGGTTTAGAAAAACAATAATTATCTTTTCCTTATTGGTGCTCTTCAATTTAGCTATATACACTCATTTGTTTTTTGGCCTGAGTATGTTTTGCTTTTGCAGGTAGAGGTTGGAGGCTAAAGCCCAGCACCTGTATGGGAAGCTCAGGGAATACCTTGGTGCCATCATAGAGCTCAGCTGTGCCAGAGGGTGTACCCATCAGGGTGATGACATCACAGTCAATGGTTTTGTCCGGCGAGGGTGCAAAGGTGTCTGAGATCACCCCTAGGAAGTCAGACAATCCCTTCTTCATTTTTTCTGTCGCCCCTGAGGAGCCTTCAGTCTGCAGAGAGAACCGATAGAGGAAGCAAGTGCCCCAGGAACAGGCTGAAATCTGGAGTAAGGGGTGAAGCATCAGGGGCAAAGGTATACTATGTGCAGGCATCAGGGAAGTGCTCACAACCCTTTACCCCTTCCTCTAGATTAAGGTGTTCAAGCATTTTAAATCTAGAACCTATCGTAGAGCCTGGGCACAGGCATACAATTATATTTGTTAAATGAAAGAAAGGAATAAATGAATAAAATAAATAAGTGGTGTCTGTGGTAATAGCTAGACCTAGAGCCATTCAGGAAGGTTACCATCTACCATTCATGCTCATCAGTAGTTGTGTTTAGCAAGCAGACAGTATTTTATCAGAGGATTCAATAAAATAAGGTTGGCCAAGAAAACCCCCAAATTTGTTTTTCTTTTTTTTTTTTTTTTAAATGGGGCCTTGCTTATGTTGCCCAGGCTGGTCTCAAGAGATCTGCTTCAGTCTCCTGAGTATTTGGGACTACAGACACATGCCGCCATACCCAATTTCAAACTTGATTTTCAGAACATAACCTCTAGTCCTTAAGGTCACTGACTAAGCTGGTGATCAAATGAGGAAATTGCAACGTGTTCCAATGCTAATGGAAAAATTGGAATTTAAAAACCAGTATTTTGGACTGGAATTGTGGCTCTGTGGTAGAGCGCTTGCCTAGCATGTGTGAGGCACTGGGTTTGATTCTCAGCACCACATACCAATAAATAAATAAAATTTAAAAATTCATCAACAACTAATAATAAAAATATTTTTTTAAAAAAGTATACTGTACTTCACTAGAAATTTAAGGGCTGGGGATATAGCTCAGTTGGTAGAGTGCTTACCTTGCATGCACAAGCCCTGGGTTCAAACCCCAGCACCAAAAAAAAAAAAAAGAAAAAGAAAAAGAAAAAAATTTAAGAGACGTACACAATTTTTGCTTTTCACACTGACTTTAGAATCTAACTCCTAGGGCTTGGGTGGTGGCTCAGTAGTAGAGCATTTGCTTGGCATATGTGAGGAGGTACTGGGTTTGATTCCTAGCACTGCATATGAATAAACAAAATACTTCTTTTTTTTTTTTTAAAGACTATAACTCTTAGCTGATACAGCAGAGCATGACTATAATCCCAGCTACTCAGGAGGCTGAGGCAGGAAGATCTCAAGTTCAAGTTCAATCTCACAAATTTAGCAAGATCCTGTCTATAAATAAAGTGAAAAGGGGTAGGGATGTAGCTCAGTGGTAGAGCAACCCTGGGTTCAATCCCCAGTACTATGAAAACAAAACATACAAACAAACAAAGAGCAGAATCTTAACTCCTATCTCACAAAAGGATTCCATTGTATATCTCTGATTAATAAAAATAGGTCCAGTGAGAATATTTGTTGGCCCAAAATATGTAAAAATGTTTTCTTGTGGGCAGTCTTGCAATATATATTAAAAACCATACTCACCCTCTGGTTCTTTCCAATATTTTATTAATAAGAAAATACGAAAAAAAGAAAATATGGCAGGTGTAGTTCAGTGGTAGAGTGCCTGTCTAGCATGTGTGAGGCACGGGATTTGATCCTCAGCACCACATAAAAATAAGTAAAGGTGTTGTGTCCATCTACAACTTAAAAAATATTAAAAAGGGCTGGGTTTGTGGCTCAGTGGTAGAGTGCTTCCCTAGCATGTGCAAGGCACTGGGTTCGATCCTCAGCACCAGATAAAAGTAAAATAAAGATACTGTGTCCACCTAAAACTAAAAAATAAATATTAAAAAAAAAAGTAGATTAAAAAGCATGGTATTGGCCAGGCACTCTGGCACAAGCCTGTAATCCCAACAGCTGGCGAGGCTAAAGCAAGAGGATCACAAATTCAAATTCAGCCTCAGCAACTAAGTGAGGCCCTACTTGATTTAGTGAGACCCTGTGTCAAAATAAAAAATAAAAAGGGATGGAGATGTAGCTCAGTGGTTAAGTACTTTTGGGTTCATTCCCTGGTACCTCCCCCCAAACAAACAAAACATGGTATTCAGTTGATCACAGTTTTAAAGAAAGTGAACATAGGGATAGGTCCCCAAAACATAAATTAACAATAGTTATCTTTGCAAGATAGAATTATGGGTGTTTCTAGGTTGGTCCTGTCTTTTCTTTTACTCTCCTGTTTTTCTGCTTCCATATTTTCTAAGTTTTTTACAATGAGACTTTGCTAATGAAACCTTGCTAAAAGAATACAGAAGTTGGAAATTAATTATTACTATACTTGCTTGATGAACATAATTCTTTCAAAATAGGAGGAAAAATAATCCCCGTATATCCCCCCTATAGGAGGGAAAATAATCACCTAATGATAGGAATGTTGGGAGTCCCCACCAGGATCCCGGGGCAAGTCCTTGAAGTATGGGCAGTACTCACAGCCAGCTTCTCCTTGACCACACTGGCCGTGGCTGCGATGGTACAGGCTGTGTCATGCTGTACCACCTGAGTAAACTCTGTCAGGTCTCGCTTCATGAACTCCAAAGCTTCGGATGACTATGGGAGGACAGAGAAGGATGACAGAGCTGGCAGATTCTACCAGTCCTTGTTCCTATTACCTGTGCTTCTTCAGTTCCAGACACATGGAAATCTCAAGTGATGTAAGAATCTGGGCTTGGAAACAATGCCCATTTGTCTAGTTCCATGACCTGGGATTACCTGGCAGCAGAGAGTGCAAGGGAATTCCTGCCACTCAGTAGAGGGACTGAGCTACGTAGCCATAATTGAGTCTCACCCAGTCCTTGGTTTCCCCCTATACAATGAGGACGGACAGTAGACCAGATCAGCAATTCACAAGAGCACACTAGGGAAAGGGGACCCACTGAGTCTGAAAAAAGATGTTGATAAGTTGTTTTGATATGCTTTAAGTTATATGTGTTTCAAATTTCAAGTAACAAGAGACAGGTGGGTGATTTTTTTTAATCAAAGGAAGTAAGAGAAGATTCTCTCTGAGGCCTCCTTGGCTGTACCATTCCACATGCATAAAGCTTCAAAAAAAAAAAAAAAAAAAAAAAGCTCCTTTGGGCCTGATACTTTTGTTTACCAAACAATCTGTTTCTTACCTTGCACTTGGAGCCAGCTTGAGAAAGCAGGCCTTCACTTCTTTCTACATTTTGCTTTTACCTTACTTGTGCCATACTCACCACCTCTAGGATGCCTTCCTGGAACATCTCTGTGCTTACCCCACCCTACAAGCCCCCTCCTTTTACATGGGATCAATCACCTGTACTTTATAAAGCATGTTTTTTAGTGTTGTGGTGGTTAGTTTTTCTGGGAAGGGCCCACCAACTTTCATCAGCCTGGGAAGTCTGTGAGTGGGGCAGTCTCATGCATGAGCTAGAGGCTTCTCTAGGGAAAAGGAATCATGCCTCAGTATCAGACATCAGATTCCTTAATTGGGGGCAGAGGGGTCATTTGTTTATCATGTGGTCTCAGTCCCAAAGTCAGAAAGGTTATTTATTACTTCACTCTGTCTATCCACAGTGTCATCACCTTAGTTCAGATCATCCTACTCTTATGTGGACTCCTCTACTGCATTTTCCTTATGACACCCAGTGGGCACTTTATTGGTCAGGGCAGACCAAGGTGCTCCCTGCTTTACATTTTTCAATGTTTACACACCATCTTAAGAGTAATTATAAAATCTTTACCTTCATTTATGAGGCTTATAAATCCTAGTCTCTGGCAGACTCTCCTCCCCGACCCTGCAAAGCCCCCTCATTTTACACAGGATCAATCACCACTGCACACCCTTGCTGAACTCCAAAGGGCCTTCCTCAGATTTCTCAAATGTCCTAGCATTCTCCTTACCTCAAAAAGTATGAATACATTATTCCCTTCCCTGAAGCATAGTTCTAATTTTCCAGAGCAAATAAGTAAGCAAACAATGAATGAACTCTCTCACTTGGTTAACTTTTTTTTTAAACCTTTGTTTTATTTATTTATTTTTATTTGGTGCTGAGGATTGAACCCAGAGCATCACACATGCTAGGCAAGCGTTCTACTGCTGAGCCACAACCCCAGCCCCAAACTGGTTAACTCTTATTCATCATTCAGATCTATGCTTCTATGCTACATCCCTAGAGAAGCTTCCCTGATTCCTCTTTAGGTTCAGCTGGCTCCTCTGGCCTTACTTCTTTAAAATCTGCCATATTTTAGACTCCAGATTACTGTTCAGTATCTATCTTCCTAGATGAACTGTAAGTTCCACGAACACAAAGCCCAAGGTTTTCATGTTCACTGATGCTTTCCTGATGTCTGACACAGAGCCTGGCATACAGAGGTACTCAAAAAATGTTGTTTGTTAAATGTATGTGCACTGGCGCAATTTAAATTATACAGGTACAACTGTTTGATGTTGTTTTACCCACAAGATTGAACTCTGAGGGGACAGACATGAACAGACATGCTGCTTGCCCTCAAGAAAGTTACAGTCTATTGGGAAAATGCTCACTCCATAGGCTGATGCAATGGCAAAGCAGTAACCAGTATATTATAGGGAACTTGGGAAGATTTGGTAAAGGGAAGCCTGAAGTAGGCCATAGGAGGGCTGGGATTGTGGCTCAGTGGCAGAGAGCTTGCCTAGCATATGTGATGCACTGAATTCAATTCTCAGCAATGCATATAAATAAATACAATTTTAAAAATATTTAAAAAATCATGGTTTAGGGCTGGGGTTGTGGCTCAGCAGTAGAGTGCTCACCTAGCACAGGCGAGGCCCTGGGTCTGATCCTCAGCATCACATAAAAATAAATTAACTAATTAACAATATTGTATCCAACTACAACTAAAAAATAAATATTTTTTAAAAATAATAGTTAAAAAAAATAAATAGGAGCCGGATGTGGTGGTGCATGCCTATAATCTCAGTGGCTCAGGAGGCTGAGGCAGGAGAATTATGAGTTCAAAGCCAGCCTCAGCAATTCAGCAAGGCCTTAAGGAACTCAGTGAGATCCTGTCTCGAAATAAAATACAAAAAGGGCTGGGGATGTGGCTTAGTGGTTACATACCTCTGGGTTCAATCTCTGGTTAAAAAAAAAGAATGACTAGGAGCCAGAAAGTCTGGATGTGGGGTTTACAGAAGCCTATAAACATTTTAGTCCTAATGAACATAAAATGTGAAGCAGAAACGGTGAGGAATAAAGCTGGAAAGGTTGCCAAGGACACCTATGAGTAGCCACCAAATGTTTGAAGAGAGTGAGTCATGATGAGATTTTTCTTTTTTTTTGGCGGGGGGTGGGGGGTGGGGGTGTCCCAGAGATTGAACTCAGAGGCATGTGACCACTGAGCCACATCCCCAGCCCTATTTTGTATTTTATATAGAGACAGGGTCTCATTGAGTGCTTAATGCCTCACTTTTGCTGAGGCTGGCTTTGAACCTGCAATCCTCCTGTCTCATCCTCCCGAGCTGCTGGGATTACAGGCATGCGCCACCCGCCTGGCCTGATTTTTATTTTCAACAGGCCACTCTAGTGACTGACATGGAGGACGGGTGCAAGAGTAAATAAGTTGGAAGAGGGAAGAACAGTCAGGAGGCTCTTCACTGCAATCATCCAGTAAAAAAATATAAGAAAATGAATAAGGACAGTGCTGCTAAGGATGGAAAAGATGGGATTAATTCAAGAAATACTAGGCAAAAAAGGAAGATTTGGTGATTAAATAGATATGTTCAGTGAGGGCAGAAAAAGGACAGGGAAGAGTGACTAATACAAAAATAGGTGACTGTGTAGATGCAGTGCAGTTGGCTAAGTGAGAAAATATTAAAGGAGGAGCAAGTTTAGAGAAAAGATTGTGGAACTGACTTTGGGCATGTAGAATTTGAGGAGACCATGGGATATCTGGAATAGTTGTCTAGCAGGAGCTAGCCTTGAACACTGAAGATCGGGGAAAGAATTGGTAATCACCTTAACATAAAGGGATCACCCGGGAAGAGTTGGAAGAGTGAACAGAAGCAGTGTTCTGAGGATCTCAGAACACCACCTAACAGAGGGGAGCAGAGGAAGAGGAGCTCATGAGCAGTTAGGAAAAGAAAGTCTAGAGAAGTATGTGGAGAACTGAGAATCATGTTGCAAAAGCCAAAAGAGCAAAGTTTCATGGAAAAGGGAGCGTTCACTAGTGTCAAATGCAGCAGAAAGGTCCAGGAAGATAAGAGCTAAAAAACACCCACTGGATTTGGCAAGCAGTAGGTAAAGTTGAGTGTGGCTACAGATAAATTTACCAGTGCTGGCTTCAGAAGTGGAGAGGGAACTGAGCAAGATCATGCTTATTGACCTCAAAAAACAAAAAGCATGTGAGGTTGCCTTCTGGAAATGACAAGACAAAGTGGTTGAACAAGGACTTAAAGGAGAAGTTTCTGAAGTCAACGGGAGGAGAAGAGAAACTGAGTGCTGGAGAGCACTCAGGCCCAGAGGTTGGGGAATTTGGTGAAGCCAAAGAGCAATATGCCCTTCTCTAGCTATATGTATACTCATGTGTGCACATATAAGAGCACACAGGACATAGCACAAAGTGTATCTTCTCAGAAGTGTTGGCTCTGAGGCATGTATGCTAAGCAGCAGGGAAAAGAGTGGTTTCGCTGGGGCCAGGTTGGGAAGCAAGGCCAGGAAAGCTCCAAAAACCAAAAAAAAAAATGGAAGAAAAAATGGACTGGAGGTGGTCCCTAAAGTCCCCATCACTCTCAGTGCTTAATAAAAATAGTTAATGCTTATATAATACTGAATATGCTAGGCATTATTCTTAATGCCTACATACATTATCATTTAATCTTTATTATAATTCCACTAGGTAGGCATTATTATTTCCATTTTACTCTTGAGGAACTGAGGTCTAAAGAGGTTAAATAACTTGCCTAATACCTAAAGATGGAAATTTAAGTCTTCCCTTTCCAAAAAGGCAGAAATAGTGCTTTAATTACCAAAAACGAAGATGGAAGGCTGATCACACTGTGATTCCACTCTCTACCTATTTTTCATAAGTTAAGGTTTCCCTTGAGGGAAACATACAGGAGACCCTCCCACAACACTTGCTGAATGTTTCTTCAGGAACTTGCTCAACAGGAAGTACACTACTTTAAGGTCTCTTAGATCAAATCTTAAGAGTGAAGTTCTCTCTCTTGATCCTCATCAACAAATAAACAACTCAGGGCTTTCTGAGATTTGCCAGACTGCAATTGAGAAGCTATACAGGAGTACACAGGCCAAAGCAGGAAAACAAATGTACCCAAAGGAAGGGGCTAATTTAATTGAAATTAGAAGACTCATGGACTCTGCTGCCCCAAAGCAGGACTCACCTCAATTGCTTTAAGAAAATAGTAATTAGTTTTTCCACAATTCAGTTGGACTGACTTTAACAAGCTAACATGGAATAAAACAGGAATATCCAGTGGCATTGCCAGTGGCAGGGACAAACATTGTTCATCCCAGAGGTATTATTCAGCAAGAAATTCAAGGTCCTCTATACACTCTGGCCACCCTTCTCTTTCTCTCTCTACCCTTCTTTGGAAATCTGTTTTAGACAGAACTCAGGTACCAGTGTGTATGATACATGCTTATCTCCGGCCTGGGTTCCTGCTTGTTATCCTGTCTAGTCAGGGTTGGCTTTGATATGGTTCCTTCCCTACCACACCTTCCCTAGTGTGTTCTAGAGAAGAACTAGATTAGACAGGGTGCTGCGTACTTTCCTTTCACAGCACTTAACCAGAAGTAATTAAAACAGCTGTTTGATTACTTGGTTAATGATGCCTCCTCACCAAACTGTGAGCTTTGTGAGAACCAGGACTATATCTGTTTGGTTAAGGTGTGTGTCCTCAGGATCTGTCAGAGTGCCGGTTGTGGCATATACTCTAAAAGTAAGTTTTTTCATTGCTAGGATTCTTTTTCTTCAAGGTCTATATCAAATGTTCTCTCTTCCACGAGCAAGCTGATAATTTCCTAAGTTGGAATAAACTGCACCCTCCTATGGATTCCTAGGACAGGATCGCTCCAGCTTTAACACAATCGTCATTTTCACTGTGACTAGTATCACACTGGTTTGCATTAGGGCTGGTCCTTCCGTAGGCCGGTAGAGGCTGAAAGGCAGGGCCCAGGTCCACCTCTGGGAGGCCCAGGCCCAAAAGTCGGGCAGGGTTGGTTGGAACAGGTTGCAACGAGGCGGTGGGGATCCCGGCTTACCTTCTCTTTGACTGCCTGATAGCTCTGCTGCAGCCAGCTCCGCCACCACCCCACGTCCTCCCTGTGGAAGACAGACACATCTGGTGGTCCTGCGGTGAGACTCCTGCCCGCCCAGTGATCTGCGGTTTCCCCCTCCGATGTGGCCGGCGGGCCCAGGCTTTGCAGGCCACTTCCCCACCCCTCACACCGCGACTCCTCTCAGCCTTTTCATCTCCGTCCTCGCCCGCGCTGTTCTCCTTCCCCACCGGGACCCTGGCCCAGCACCCCAACCCTGAGAGAATTCAGGCCTCAACGCCTGGGAGCGGAATGACGGGCTCACCCTTCCGCCATCTTGCCTGCATGACATCACCACTATTTACCGACCTTTGACTTCCGACACGGCACCGCCCCCTCAAGCACCGCCCCAGAGCGCGCGACCCAATCCGCGCGTCGGCCCCGTCCTCAGCCTAATCCCCGCCCCGCTCCATCATTAGGCTCCGCCTCCCTGAGCTCTGTCCAGTTTCAGTCCGGAGTTTGCCTTTAAACTCCGCCTCTGATCTCTAGGCTCAATCCTTATTCAGACCCATCCTCAGGTCCCGCCCCCACAAACCTTAACTCTTTGGTGGGTATCCGCTGACATCCGATACGGTGGCCTCTGTGGGCCATGTTCGCCCGACTTGCTGGACGTCGAATTGAGAGTAGACGGAGGAAGGGAGGGGGCTGGCTCGAACGTCTGGATCCCAGAGCGCACGGCTAGGACCGCCCCCCTTTGTGAAACCAGCTGCGTAGCAGCTGCTGGCTGTCTCTTCGGGCTAATTCAACACGCTCAGACTGCCAGACTCTGGGCCAGAGTTTCGAGTGTGAAGGAAGCAGCCTGGGAGAGGCAGACACATATTTAATTATCACAACTCTTGGTTGCCCTGCTCAAAACAACAAGAGCTGAATGTGATCAGGAGACTGCCACAAGGAAGGAGGTTGAATTCCATTGAGTTAGCAGGTTGGATGGGGTGGGAGAGTGCCCGGAGCTCCCACTGCCTCATCTACTACCTGCATTTGCACCCCCATACTTTGCCTTCCCTCCTGCAAGGCTGCACCTTTGCCTAGGTCAGCCCCTCCACTTGATCTCCTTGCTTCTTGTCCATCCTAATGATGGATCTCTAGTAATTCCCCCACTCTCCCTCACCCTGCCCACCTGTTCTTCCCTCTCTGAGATTATTCCTGTCATCATCATATATGTTATTATTAATTTCATCTTAAAAACCAGCCAGGAAAAAAAAAACCCAAAACAAACAAACAAACAAAAACCTCTCTTAAGCCCACATGATTTACCTACTCCCCTTCACTGAAAAACTCTTGAATTGCCAATACTCACTGTCTCCGATTTCTCTCCCTCATTCACTATTGCACTCCTTTTAGTCGGGTTTTTGTCTCCCCTCAATCCACTGAAATAATTTATTGAGGGTCACAGAGCAATGGCCAATTTTCAATTCTCATCTTACTTGAATCATCAGCGTCTTACATGACACAGTTGACCACTTTCTTCTCTTCAAAGGCTTTCTTCAAGGCTGGGGATGTAACACAGTGGTAAAATCCTTGCCTCACATACGGGAGACCTAGGGTTGCAACCCCAGCACCAACAAAAACGCTCCCTTCCTACCTCTAGGGCATGTCCTTCTCAGTGTTCTTTACACTCTTGTTGCTGGCATGTTCCCAGAGCTCAGCCCTCTGCTTTTCCATGTCTGTAATCATTCCTCGAGTGATCTCATCAAGTCTTGTGATTTTAAATGTCATAAATTTCCTGGCAACTCTCAAATTTTTCTCCAATTCAAACATTTGTGAATACCAGGGTCATTGTGTCTATTTTGATGTATAATAGACATATTGAACTCAATATGTCCCCAAACTTCTGATGTAGCCCACTTAAATTTCCTGCAAACTTTACCACATCTGTAAATAAATGGCAACCTTATTTCTTCTGTTGTTCAAGCCCAAAATCTGGGAGTTATCTATGATTACTCTCCTTTCATCCAAAATTAATCCCTCAGCAAATCCAGTTAGTTCTGTCTTTAAAAGAAAACCAGAATCTACTCACTTCTCAACATCTCCATGGCTATCTTGTAGATCCAAGCCATCATCACCTGTCACCTGCTTAACTGCAGGAACCTTTAACTGATATCGCTGCATCCACCTTTGCTTTTTTAAGTTTAGTTTTAGTTTTCCCTGAAAGTAATCTTTTTAAAAAACCTAAGTTGGAATACAGTATGGCATTTCCTCAAAAAATTAAGCCTAGAATTACCATGTGATCCAGTGATTCCACTTCTGGATATATACCCCAAAGAACTAAAAGCAGAAACTTGAACAGATATTTATACAACCATGCTCGTAGTAGCGTTACGCACAATAGCTAAAAGATGGAAGCAATCTAAATGTCTACTAATGGATGAATAAACAAAATGTGAAACATACTTACAATGGAATATTATTCAACCTTAAAATAATTCTGACACATGCTACAACATGGATCAACCTTGAAAACATTATGCTAACTGAAATAAGACAGTGATGAAAGAACAAATATTGAATCCCGGCCCATGGTGCATGCCTATAATCCCAGTGACTCAGGAGGCTGAGGCAGGAGGATCGCAAGTTTAAAGTTCAAAGCCAGCCTCAGCAAAAGTGAGGCACTAAGAAACTCAGTGAGACCTTATCTCTAAACAAAATACAAAATAGGGTTGGAGCTGGGGTCAGTCAAGTGCCCCTGAGTTCAATCTCCAGTACTAATATATATATATGAGATACCCAAAGAAGTAAAATTCATACAGGCAGAAAGTAGAATGGTGGTTACCAAGAACTGGGTACAGAAGGGAATAGGAAATTTGTATTTTGTATGTGTGTGTGTGTGTGTGTGTGTGCTGGGGATGGAACCCAAAGCTTCCTGTGTGCTAGGCAAGTGTTCTGCCAATGATGTCCTCAGCTTGGAAATACAGATTTTTGTTTAATGGGTATAGTATTTCAGTTTGGGAAGATGAACAAATTTGAGAGATGGAAGATTGTGCTGGCTGCACAATAATGTGACTATATTTAATATGCTGAACTATTCATTGGTTCAGTTCATGAACCATTTAAGCAAAAATGGGTAAAATTGTGTTATATATACTTCATCACAAATAAGATATATACCTTATCACAACTCTCCTATGTTCTCCAATGTCTTCTTATTTCACTCAGAGGAAAAGCCAGTAACTCTACACATTCTCCTTGAATCAGGTTCTACATGGTTGATACGACCTTGCACTACTGGCTGCTGTACTCCAAACGCATTCATTACTTTGTTTTTCTTGAAAATTCCTGAATCTTCCTTGACTCAGGGCACTTGAACTTGCTATTCTTTCTGTTTAGAATGCTCTCACTGCAGATATCCATGTGCTTCTAACTTTACCTCTTACAGATCTTTACTCAAACATAATCTTTTTACCCATTCTTTCCACATTATTTAAAATCGCAATTTGCAGTTGGGTGCTGTGGCTGTGTTTGTAACACCAGATACTTTGGAAGCCAAGACAGGAGTATTGCAAGTTTGAGTATCAGCAACTTAAGTGAGACCTTGTCTCAAAAAATAAAAGGGTTGGGGATATGGCTCAGTGGTAGAGTGCCCCTGGGTTCAATCCCCAGTACTGGAAAAAAAAAATAATTGGCATCTTGAGCTCCCAGCACTCTCATCTCCCTTCCCTGCTCAATTTTTTTTCTTCATACCACTTATAACCATCCAGCATACCATATATTTATTTTTTTAAATTGCCTTCCTCCTTCTGACCAGATATGTGACCTTCATGAAGGCAAAATTTTTGCTTTGTTCACCTATTTATTCCCAGCACCTAGAAGCATCTGGTGATAACACGCACTCAGTATTTGTTAAGGGAATGAAAGAATAAGTACATGGAGAGCAAGCACTTATTTGGTGCAATATAGAACAACTAATATGAAAAGGAAAAAGAGGAGTGGATGTGAGGCTGTAAAGGTCATTAACATCTGGACTCCAGAATCCCTTGTATTCAGGGCTTAATTATTACTATTTTTTGGAGGGGGTACTAAGAATTGAACTCAGGGGCACTTGACCACTGAATCACATCCCCAGCCCTATTTTGTATTTTATTTAGAGTCAGGGTCTCACTGAGTTGCTTAGGCCTTGCTTTTGATGAGGCTGGCTTTGAACTCATAATCTTCCTGCCTGAGCCTCCTGAGCAGCTGGGATTACAGATGTGCACCACGGTTCCTGGCTGTATTCAGGGACTTAAAATTCAAGGATGAAGGAGAGTCACCAAAGGTGTTTGTTGTCTGACACTGAGTTACACCCCCAGTCCTTCACCAAAGGTTTTGAATCAGGAAATGACTTGTGCTGAGAAGATGTGATCAAATTGTCACATTCCACTATTGACAGATCTAATGGGCCATTTATTAAACAGGTGAGCATTTTAAACAGGATGACTTCTCGGTTGTTCTATGAGGTAGGAAATGTTTTTTTTAAATATTTTTTTTTAGTTGTAGGTGGACAAAATACCTTTGTTTTATATATTTATATGTGGTGCTGAAGATTGGACCCAGGGCCTCACATGTGCTAGGTGAGCGTTCTACCATTGAGCCACAACCCCAACCTGAGGTAGGAACTGTTTTTTAATTTTCATTTTATAAATGAAGAACCTGAGATTCCAAGAAATGGAAAATAACAGAACTCTGCTTTATACCCAAGGCCACTAGTAAAACCAAGTGTTTGCACATCTCATGTTAGGTCTTAACTTCTTTGAGCACGATGTCCCGACACCTCACCCAAATGATAAACTGCAGACAGTCCAGGACTACATCCTGTCCTTCACCATATGCACCCTACCTCATTCTTCCACTCTCAAGTCTAGCACAGTGCTCACCCATGAGCTCCTTAGTGCTGGTGGACTTTGTAAGACTCTCCTTGGAATTCTTTTTTTCTTCCTACTTTGTTCATCCCCATACCCTGATGTGTGGCTCCCTCTCCCTTCATTGCAATAACCTCTGTCATCAAGTGGATCTGGATTCAAATCCCAGCTTAGCCACTTAGCAGCAATGTGAGCTTGGGCAAGTTGACGTCCTCAGGCTTTAGTGTCTTCATCCTTAAAATGGGGATACTAATCCTGGTTCCTGTGAGGATTAAAGAAAATAATCAAAACACATCATATGGCATGAAGTCCTACATGTGGTATTCATTA